GGGCTCTTCTCCTCCTCCTCTTCCCCCCCCTCTCTCTCCTGCTCCGCCTCCTCCTCCTCCTCCTCCCTCCTTCTCATCCTCCGCCTCCTCCTCCTCCTCCTCCTCCTCCTCCTCCTCCTCCTCCTCGTGCGTCTCATTATTTCTCTCCCTCCTCCTCCAACTTCTCCTCCCCTCTTCCTTGACATATCCTTCTCGTCCTCCTCCTTCTCCTTCTTCCTCTCCCTCTTTCTATTTCTCCTCCTCCTTCTCCCTCTCCTCCTTCCTCTCTCGCTCCTCCTCCCGTCCCTCCTCCTCCTCCTCCTCCTTCTCCTCCTCCTCCTCCTCCTCCTCCTCCTCCTCCTCCTCCTCCTCCTCCTCCTCCCCTTGGTACCACCAGCTCAGCTCGCCGAGGCCCCCTGCAAGGGAGCCCCGAGAGGCCAGCGGCGCCCCCGCGCGCGAGCAGGCAGCGCCTGCGGCCCCGCGCCCGGGCCCAGCGAGGGGCGAAGCACCCGCGATCTCGGGGCGGACGAAGGTCGGCGACGAGCCCGAAGGTTATGCTGTTCCCATAGTACTTAATGCGGGATGACGGTTAATAAAACAAATGAGAGAGAACGATTAAACAAAAAAAAAATCTGCCATGTCTGCATAATTTTCGGACTGGAAGAGAACGATAAAGCAATCATTTTCCAGTCCGCGGCCGGTATTTTCTAATCGTCATCCCGGGCGCCGCCGTTCGTACTTCGGGGATGGACAGACCCCCCCTTAGCAAAACGTGGTTTAGTGAAAACGACCTGAGGCCCAAACCTGGCGGGCGCAGGCCTGGAAAGTAACGGCCGCGGCGCCCTCTCGAGAACCGAAAACGGACAATTCACGAATCGACGTGTCACTGTTGGGGGTTCTGTCCACCCCCGAAAGGACCACATCCCAGAAATAATTTCGAGCACCCGGGAAGGTGCCGAAAGAGTGCCGAAGCAGTGTCGGACGAGTGCCTCCCAGGGCCCGACACGTGAAAAACCTGGAGTTTTGGGGTACTTTTCTGGTGCTCGAAACTCTTTCGGGTGGTCCAGGCTAAAGTAGGTTGGAACATCATCATAACCCGAGGGGGGAGGTGAGAAGGAGAAGGCCTTCTCGGGAGGCGGCGGGGCTTCCCTCGGGTCGACCCACAAAAGGGGGTCCAGCGACAAGGGGGTGGGGCAATAGATTTGGTGCAACAGATTGTGGGGCTGCAGTACACCTGGGGCTTGCGATACATTCCGGGGCGCAAGGGTATTGCTGGATGTTCGTGTGCAATACACTACTTGCAAAACAATGCAATACAACTCTCCTGCGCAGTCCATTTACAATACAATTGCCCCAAATCTATTGCACCATCCCCTTTCAGCTGGACCCCATTTTGGGTGTGCTTGATTCTCAGAAGCCCTCTGGCCATCTGAAAAGTTTTCTGTGACTCCGGGGACGGCTCAGAGAACTTCTCAGGAGGCCAGGAAAACTTCCGAGCCTTCTTGAGGAGGCCCGCCCTTTCTCGCTTCCCCCCCGGGCTCGCCGATGAGAAAGGGGAGGCCACCGAATGGGGCCCGAAGAGATCGGGTCCCAGATCTCTAATGAGCGTTTGTTTATTCGGCGTTTCGACATTGGGCCGAAAGTAGGGGGGGGTCTGGCTCCGGACCTCTGCTTGGTGCGACTGTCTGCAGCACTGGGTCCTAGGAGGGGAGACTCCACCTGCTCGAAACAGGCGCCCAAAACAGCCAAGATCTACTCCAAGGGGGGGGGAAGGGTGCGAGGGTCCGCGCCGATCGGCAAAACACTGAATAAAACAAGGATCACTAGGGCGTCTCCTCTGCGAGCCCGTTTGCATGAAGAGGCCCTGAGCCACACACATACACAGACACAAGACCGAAGATGCCCCATATCTATCGACGTTCTCTGGGTTTCGTCTGCGCCGTGGGGGGGGGAGGAGTCCGGGAGGAGGAGGGCTTTGGGGGCCCGCGCCGATCGGCAAAGCAGTGCATAAGAAGCACGATCACCTGTCGGGTCGGGAGCGGCCAAGAGGGGGGTGTCCAAGAGGGGGGGGGGCGCAAATCGTGGCCGGCGGCATGTGCGCGGCGGCCCAGCGGGGGGGTCAGGGACGCAATTAATGGAATGAGAGGAGGTGCCATGAAATCTGAGGAAATGTCATGGCCCCCGCCATCCCCCCCCTCTTTCCCGCCCCCGATCGGGGGGGGAGGGGGCTGCCTCGGCCCCGGCGCTTCTCGCGTCGACCCCCGGGCCTCCGGGGCCCGTGCCCGGGCCCCCCCCCCCGCGTGGCCGCCATGCTGTCATGGGGTGCCCGGGGCGCGGTGCTGCCCCGGGGGGCGCGGCCAAGGCCTCCTGGCCCGACGGGGGCACGCAAGAGCGGGGGCCCCAGACTTACGTCGGGCGTGTCCCCCCACAGGGGGATTTTCGACGAAAACATAAGAATACCCCCAAAATACTCGAAAAAGGTCAAACAATAATCCAAGAATACTGCCCAGACTATGTTTGGAGTTTTTTTTTTTTTGTTTACTATTTTGGGGGTATTTTTGACTTCTCGTCAAAAATCCCCCTGTAGGGGGACAGGCCCGACGTAACCCCAGACCCCCTCGAGGCATGAAGAGAGCACGGCGGGAGGCTCTTCGCGATGTTCGGCCTCTGCAGGGGCCCTTGCCGGGCCTCGGGGCCGTCCACAAAACGACTCGGGACGAAACAGCGGTCCTGGGGAACAGGTCGATCGACCTGCTCCCCAGGACCGGCTTCTCATTCTCATTGAAGACGGCGCCATCTACATCGAGGACGATCTCGTTGACTAATGGGACGATCTGAACATCTACTTGGTTGCTGGGTCCGAGGTCGATTCTGATTTCGGTTCCCGAGGTTGAAGGGGAACTGGGACACACAAATAAATAGATACAAATAACCAGATTCCCCATATTTTCAAATATTTTCTGGGTTTTTGTCTTCCCCCCACCTCCCATATTTTCCAATATTTTCTAGGGAATCGACGATTAATTGTGTCTGTGTGTTTCTTTCCCTCCTGAGAGGCCTCGATCGCGGTCGAGACCTCGGGGGGCCGACGTGTTGAGCAACTCCCGGCGTCGGGGGTCCGGGGCCCTCCCGCCGGCCCGCCCTGCCTCCCCCGAGGACGGGAGCAGGGGGAGGAGGGGGAGGAGGGGGAGGAGGAGGGGGAGGGGGAGGCGGCGCAGGAAGGCGAGGACGCGGCGCAGGAGGAGGAGGAGGGCGCGCGGAGCTCGAGGCCGCGATGGCGGAGCCCTGGCGGTGACAGCGCGGGCGGCCCTCGGCGTGGGGCCCTCCCGCCCTCCCTCCCCCTCGACGGGGCCGAGCGGGGGGCCCGACGCACGCGCGGGGTCAGGGGGACGCGCCAGGGGGACGCGTCGAGATAGGGAGGACGCGGGGGGCCGCGAGGTCCAGGGACCCAGACCTCCAACGCATTGAAACCATCACAACGGAGATGTGCTTCTCGACGGGGGGTGGTGACTCCCCAAACCTGCGACGCGTTGAGAAATCAAGACGGAGAGGGTGCTTCTCGATTTTGGGCCTCTATATATAGCGGCCCTCGCCGGGCCCCAGGACTGTCCAAAAACGACCGAGGATGAGAAACCGGTCCTGGGGAATGGGTCCAGACTTCCGGGGACCCCGCATGGGAAAAATCACGACATCGGATCTCTGGGGAGACGTCACGGGCTGGCCACGATGTCCCAACACCCCCCGTCATCACCCGCCTCTTGGCCGCCCCCGACAAGTGGGGCCAGAGCAGATGGGGTCGGAGGATCGCGCCGCATATCGCTGATGGAGCCGCGACGCGTCGACGACACCAGGACGGAGGAAATCGGGTTCCAAATCCACCCGCATCGCAGATGCGTCGCAAACGCATCGCCGATGCGGCGCGATCCTTCGAATCCATCTGTCTCGACCCCGTTGAGGTGTTCTGGAGAACGAGGGGGGTGACAAGCCCTGGCATCTGGGCGTCGCAATTTTTCCACACTGGGCGTTCTTGCCCGGACTCGGGCCTCGGGGCCCAAGCAGATCGATCTGGCCCGAGATATGGTGCATAAAGATCTGATCCAGCGCTCCGGTCGTGACTTTGTCACGATGTTGTATGTTTTCTCTGCGTCGGATCTCAGGGAGCTTCATGCAGCTGGTTACCCCCCCTCCCCACCCCACGCCTGCATCCCAGCGCCGTGGGCGGCCATTCGATCGAGGGAAAGGCCCGGCGGCGGGGACGAAACCAGGTACATGCCACAGATTCTGTACCCCCCCAACTTCCCCATCCCCCCCCTTCGTCCGGTCCGAATCTCACTAAACGGCCATGCGATCTGGGTTCAAAAACTTGTCAGGGAAAACGACACAATCAGAAACTGCTGGATACGCTCTGACTTGAAACAGGCGAGCGGCAATAGACCGACGTGGGTCTCGTGATGGTTGCTCAGATATGTACAGCCGAACTCTGGCGCGCGAGTTCTTCCTCCGGCACCTCCTCCTCCGCCTAAGCAGTGTACATCGTCCCCAACCCCCATGCAAGTGGTATAGGTAATCGATTATCCGTGCATAACCGAATTCTGGGAAGCGGGCCGAAGATGCGCGCGGGGCACGAGGTTGGAAAAGCAGCTCGCTGCAATGACACTCGCACGACGAGCGCGCCTTCTGCAAAATGAGCCGATGGAATGCGGGAAGCGCTTAAGCAACACACATGTCCCTCGTTTCTGACAACAAACAGCCGCAGCAACCCGACGTGGGCCATGATTGATGGCTGCTTAATTATGCATCGCCGATGTTCTGCGAGCACGCGTGACGAAAGAAGCTCAAAAAGCGCTCAGCGCGTGTTACGACGGAGTGTAATAAAATTCGCACGCAGCGGAACGCTGGCGCGTGGGCAGGGGGAACTCGCACGACGAGCTGCAGGACGAAAGACACGGGTCACCTCGCCGGGCCAATGCCAGCCCGCCGCGCCGCCTTGCCGCCTCTTCGGGCCTGCCCCCCTCCACGACTCAGGCCTCGTGCAGCTCCCAGTGCCCCTCTGGGATCGACTGGCACCTCGCCCTCAGGCCCCACGCGCCGCCCGCGGCGGCCTTGTACGAGAGGTCGTCCTCGAAGTCGTCATCGGCCCACGACAGCGTCCGCTCGGTGCCCTGCCGCGACATCGAGGCGGCCGTGCTCACGTCGCTGTCCAGGCGCCCGCGCCCGCAAGGCTTCGAGTCCGGCGGCAGCGCATCCTGGCGGAGGGGCCCCGCGCCGCCAGGCTCCTCCTGCTCGTCCGGGGCCTCCGCTGCGAGCAGGCTCAGCTCCCTGCGCCAGGACACCCCTGTCGCGGCCCTGGTGACGTTGTCGTAGTGCCTCTCGAGGGACCTCTGCGCATCCGCCTCCATGACCTTGGCGTTCAGGCCCCTGGACCAGGCAGCCGGCACGATCGTGATGGCGTCGCAGTGCTTCTCGAAGGACGCCAAAAAATGCGCGTCCGTCGCCTTCTTGTTGAGGTCCTTGGACCACGCTCCCGAGCAACTCCTTGTGACAGTATCGTGCTGGGCTTCAGCCAGCGTCTTGCCTGCGATGTCGATCGGAGCTGCATTTAGAACCCTGCACCACGAGGCCCCCGCGGAGGCTGCTGTGATGGCGTCGTAATGCTTCTGGATGGGTTCCATCGCGCCCGCGGCCTCTATCTGAGCAAGTGCGCTTGCATTGACACCCCTGGACCACGTCGTGGGGGTGGCAGGCACTGCGGTGATCGCATCGTAGTGCTTCCATATGCACCGCGCAGCACGGTCCTCCTCCATCTCCGGGCCCTTCAGGTGCAACTCGCGAAGCCACATCCCCGCCTGGCCATCACAGGTCGAGGCGCCCACGGCCCGCAGGGCCTTCACGTTCAACTCCCGCGACCACGTCGACCCTGGAGGCGCTCTGGTGACCGCGTCGAAGTGCCCCTCCACAGTCTCGGTCGCGACCGCCTCCAACGCCTTCGCGTTCAAGTTCCTCGACCAGGTGCTGGGGCACGAGCTCGTGGCGGCGTCGTAGTGCCGCGTGATGGGGTCATCGAGCTCGGCCGCCCTCGAATTGAGCTCCCTCGACCACACTGCGCCCGGCGGAACAGCGGTGATCGCGTCGCAGTACTGCGCGAACTCGCCCTCGCCCAGGAGCTGGAGGCCGTGCGCGTTGAGCCCGCGAGACCAGCCGGCGCCAAGCTCCCGTGCACGCGACGCGTTGCGGTGCTCTTCGGCGACCTCGTCCACACCCTTCTGGCACGCCCATGGTCAAGGTGCCCAAAGCCACATAGATAAATACACACAAATACCAAGATTCCCTATATTTTCCAATAGTTTCCGGGTTTTCGTCTTCCCCCCCACTTCCCATATTTTCCCATATCTTCCTGGGAGTCGTCGATGAATCCCACCAGCCCTCTGGGCGTCGGTGGTTTAGGGCGTTTCCTCTTCCACCCATCCTTCTTCCCCTTCGGGGAGGGGCTTACCCCTCCCCCTACCCACTCCCCATGGACCTGGAGGGGGGGGCCGCGAGGTGTCAGAGCGTCCAAAACGGCCTCGGCGAGGAAGCCAAAATCATGGATTCTACTACGGTTTTGGCCCCATTTTGGCCTCCTGGGGGGGCGAGGCTGATTAATGCTCCGCACTTCTTTGATAGACCTCCTCCAAGATGGCCCCAAGAAGCGCACAGGAGGCCCCAGAAGGTCCCAAGATGGCCCCGAGAGGCGCCCAAGAGGCCCCCAGGAGGCCCCCAAGAGACCCCCAAGAGGCCCCAAGAGACCCCCCAGAGGCACTCAAGATGCTCCAAGAGGCCTCGGCGAGAATGCCAAAACTGCCTCGGCGAGGAGGCCAAACTCATTGGTTTTACTGTGGTTTTGGTTCCATTTTGGCGTCCTGGGGGGGGGACGCTAATTAATGCTCCACTCTTGTTTCATCGATCTCTTTAAGATGGCCCCAAGAAGCGCCAAGGAGGTCCCAAGAGGTCCCAGGATGGCCCCAAGATGGCCCCAAGAGGCCCCTAAGAGGCCCCCAGGAGGCCCCCAAGAGACCCCCAAGAGGCCCCAAGAGACACCCCAGAGGCACACAAGATGCTCCAAGAGGCCTCGGCGAGAATGCCAAAACGGCAACGGCGAGGAAGCCACAATCATTGGTTTTACTAGGGTTTGGGCCCCATTTTGGCCTCCTGGGGGACGACGCTAATTAATACCCCCCTCTTGTTTGATCGATCTCCTCCAAGATGCCCCCAAGAAGCGCCCAGGAGGCCCCAAGAGGTCCCAAGATAGCCCCAAGTTGGCCCCAAGAGGCCCCCAGGCGGCCCCCAAGAGGCCCCAAGAGACCCCCCAGAGGTACCCAAGATGCTCCAAGAGGCCTCGGCGAGAATGCCAAATCATTGATTTCACGAAGGTTTTAGCCACATGTTGGCCTCTTGGGGGGGGGAGCACTGATTAAGATGACTCCAAGAGCGCCTGGGAGAGCCCAAGATAACCTCCAAGATGGCTCCAGATAACCCAAGATGTCTCATAGTGGCTTCCTCTGTGTGCTGCCCACTTCCCTGATCCAGGCAATTCCTCTGGGCATCGTTTCTGGATGGGCTGGTGGGGATTCTTTTTTGTCAGCGGCCGCAGGCGAGCGCGCCAGCGGCGAGTCCAGTCAGAGCGGGGCGCGCAAAGACGAATTAACCTAAAGCGGTGGGCCGGGCCTCTCTGGTGGGGATTCGCGAAGCGTCAACAATTGTGTCTGTGTCCTTTCTTCCCCTCCTGACAGAGCGGGTACGGAGAGAAAAAGTTGGCACGATACCCAGCAGCAGACTCCGTCGAAACCCGGCAGCGGTCGCTGCTGGGCAGGCGACCTTCGCCCCAAATGGACACAGGGTCCGCGGCGGCACTTGGCGGCGAGCGAGGGGGTGAAGTGAGAAGGAGAAGGCCTTCCCAGAAGGCGGCAGGACTTCTCAGAAGCCCTCGCGCCTTCTGAGAATTTTTTTCTGCTTTCGGGGAAGGCTTAGAACATTTCTCAGACGGCCGGGGGACTTCCGAGCCTTCTGAGAAGGTCCGTCCCTCAGCGCTGAACCTAACCCGTGTGTTTCGTTTTCGCTTTGTTTCCGTCTTCCCTCGCTTTTGTCTCGAACCCGCCTTTATTTATACCGCAAAACGAAGGCGAAACGCAAACGGCCCACGAAACCGCCAACAAGAACTGCTTAGGTCCAGCCCTGCCGCCCCTTCTCGCTTCCCCCCCTCGCTCGCCGCCGGGGCACGCGCGGCGGGCCCACTCGGGGGGGGTGATCAGCGTCCCCAGACCCCCGACGTTGTGAATTTTTCATGACGTCGACCCCCAGCTGTCTGGACCCATTCCCAGGGACCGGTTTTTCGTCCTGAGTCGTTTTTTGACGGTCCCGAGGGCCGGTAAGTGCCCCCAGAGGCCAAAAATATTGAAAAACCTCCCGTCGTGATTTTTTCATAACTCGAGGGGGTCTGGGGGGGGGGATCAGCGTCGACAGCTTGACTCGGTGCTGCATCGCCGATCCATCGGCGGCCACATGTGCCCCCGACGACGGCGACACCGCAGGCGCTCCCAGGCAAACCGGGCCCCCTACCGGCGACGAGTGGGCGCTCTGGGGGGGGGTCGATGCGTTCCCCCCCCCGAGCCCATCCCCCCCCCCAACTGTAGATGGCAGAAACGCCACCCCGATAAGAACCCCCCCGACGCGCGAGGCCGTTTCGCCAGCGCAGCCAAATTGAAGGAATCACACGGGGCAGGGCTGTGTAGTTAAAAAGCCTAGGGCCGTTTAGTATAAACGCCAATTGTCCGGTCCGGGTGGTTTTCTCCTCCCTTGAAACTGGGAGCACGAACCTCTGCCGATGCCACCCCAGACATGCGACGTCCTGATTTTTTCAGGACGGCGTCCCCGGAAGTCCCGGCCCTTTCCCCGGGGCCGGTTTTTCGTCCAGAGTCGTTTTTTGACGGTCCCGAGACCCGGCGAGGGCCCCCCGAGGCAGAAAATAGCCAAAACCTCCCGTCCTGATGTTTTTACGACGCGATCATGTCTGGCACTGCTCCACGGAATCTCTCCTGGGGCGCGCTATACATGACCGGGGCTCCGCGGGGCTCTCACCGGGCAGGGCAGCGGCATCGGTGCCCTCTCCTCCCCTGCCCGGCGATGCCCCTGACAAGAGACCCTGGGGGCCAGAAGCAGCATTAGGTCGGGCATGTCCCCCTAGAGGCGTATTTCGGGCGAGCAAGAAGAAATAGTCAAACAATACCCCCCAGACGGTCAAACATAGTCGAACAGATCGTCCCCAAACTAGTTTTTTTGACTATTTTTGACGATTCCCCCTGTAGAGGGACAGGCCCGACTGGAAAGTAGCAGCACGAGACCCTTCCGCCGTGGCTTTCGCACGTGCCGCGGGCCTGCCCCCTCGAGGCGGGCGAGCACAGCCACGAGCGAAGCCAGCGGGTGGCGGCGGAGGCGGTGGGCCTCGGCTCGGCCTCTGAGCATCGTTTGGCCGAGCCGCAGCATCACTGGCGCGGACTTGGCCCCTCGGTCCGCCCCGGGTCCTCATCCCGGAGCAGTTCCCCCTCTCCCCTAACCCGCCCCGGGTCTCAATCCAGGGGCCGCCCGAACCCGGGGTCTAACCCCCGGGCCACCCGGGGTCTGACCCCTTGGCCGCCCGGTTGCGTCCGAGGCCTCGTCCCCGGGCCGAGCTGGCCAACTGGTTCCCCCCCCCCCAGGTGGCGATGCAGCTGCAGGCACACCGCGGCTGAGCTTGCAGAGTGGGACGCTCGGAGGCCACTCGCTGGATACGCGTGAGTGGAGGACCACCGTCCGTGGCTGGCCACAGAGGGGCCCAAGGCTGGACAAGCATCGGGCCGCGTGCGTACCCGACCCTCGCCCCGGCCGGCCGCGCCATGCGTCTTCAGCCCCAGGGGAGCAGCAGTGCTGCTCCCCTGGGGCTCCTCGGGGCCCGTCCCCACCCAGGGGGGGTGGGAAAAGGGAGGGCTGGTGGGGCTGAGATGCCGTG